ACCAAGTTTTTAACAGTTTCCTAAATGTCACAAGGGTGGGAACCACACAAATCTTGGGGGGGACTTTGTTCCAGAGGGCAGGCACTTTCTTCTAGTCCAACATTTCTCATTATATATTCTGCATATAAGTTAAATAAATAAGATGAGAATTTACAATCTTTGGTGCACCCCTTTCCCAATTTTGAACCATTATAGTAGCTCCATCTTCCATTCTAACTGCTCCTGTTGGTTCCTGATCACGATACAAATTATCTAGTAGGCATATGAGGTAGCCCACAACACCCATGCCTTTAAGGGCTATCCACAATTCGTTGTGGTCTACACAGATAAAAGTTGTTGTAGAAAGCAAAAGTAGAATTTTGGGGGGAGCTCCCATACCTTTTATGTTATCCATTGGATGTTAGCAATGTGATCTCAGGTAACCCTGTCAGACCTCCCAGGTAAACCAGACAGGAAACATGACTAGATGAGCTAATTCTACTTTGTTGTAAGGCTACATTAACAGAATCTTGCAAGGCTCAAAATACAAATCTCCCACTCTCCCTATTTATCTCCTCTTAGGCAGGACCTTCCTAAGTTTCTTGAACTGGCCGTTACTCTGTTGTGGACTCTTTTCTCTTTTATCTGATTGTTCCCTAGGCAGCAATCTTCCCCCCCACCCCCCATCTCCCAAGGTCACTATTACGTTCCATCACAGGTAACCCTGACTCTTCTGAATCCAGTTTGTATTTCTGCAATTCTCGCTCTATGTATTAAGTCTGAATTACAAAGTCTCTAAAAGCCCTTGAGATGAGTGCAATTGTTCACCAGTCTGAGCTCTGCTTACCATTCCTCTTTTTCATTTTGCAATATAAATGGATCTTTTTCAGTCCCTTGGGCACTGTTTTGTTTTCTATATTTGTTTATAAACTGAAAGTTTTATAAAATAACTGCATCTTCTTTAAAGATTTAAAACAGTTCTGCTGGTGTTTCATCAACGCCTGCAGGTTGTTGTTAACAATATTTTCTAGGGCCCATTTAACTTCACTTTCCAGAATGACTGGCTCTAGTTCAGTGATGAAACCTTCATAAAGATTGATTTTGGGATCTTTACTGTATAGTCACCTCATTTTTTTCTTTGTATCTCCTTTTTCTAGTAGATCTTTGTCTTTGCATGAAAGGTTCCAATTTGCTTAAAGAAATCACTTGTCCTTCCCATTCCAAGTGTTATTCTCAGTTTCTTTGCATTGCTTATTTAGATATAACTCCTTGTCTCTTCTGCTCTTCCCTGGAACTCAGCATTTAGTTGGGCAAATTGTCTTCTGCCTTTGTTGCCTTTCTTCAGCTATTTTCAATGTGTCAGCAGACAGCCATTTAGCCTTCTTTTGTTTTTTGCATTTCAAGAAATTTTTCTTTGCTTCATCTTTGATGTCACCAATTTTAGCGCAGAGTTCTGTTGATCAGATATAATCCATTAAATCTGTTCTTTACTTTTACCTTGTAATCGGATGGAATATTGCTGAGATTGTATCTTGTTAATCTGATGGTTTTGTTTTCTTCAAAGTGTTATTTTGCAAGATGGTTTTTGGAAGATGGTATTTCCTAAACACACTGAATATTCGTGGCAGAACTCTATTAGACTGTTTCAGTGCTTCATTCTGTATGCTGATGCCAACATTTCCTATTATTCCAGATAATACTTTACTAACTTTAGCATTCCAATCTTGTATAATTGTTCAATTGTAATTGTATAATTAGTATGATGTTGTACTTGTGTGTGGTGTATTATCATAGAACTATTTAACTTTTGCTTCCTCTGCATTTCTGGTTGGAGCATAAACTTGGATCACCATAATACTGACTGGTTTGCTTTGGACTGGATTGAGACTGTTGTATCATTTTTGGATTGTATCTGAGCACTGACTTTGACACCCTTTTGTTAATACTGATGACTACTCCATTTCTTCTATGATTTTCTTGTCCAGAGTAGAAGATGTGATGCTTCTCTGAAGTGAAGTGAACATTCCAGTCCATTTCAAGTCATTGATTTACAGAATGTCAATGCTCACTCTTGACATCTCTGCTCTGACAGCATCATGTTTGCCTTGGTTCATGATTCTGACATTCCATGTACCAACAGCATACATATCTTTGCAGTATTAAACTTTCTTTTTGCCTTTGGGCACATCAGCAGCTGGATGTCTTTTCATCTTTCATCTAAGTTCATCATAAGCACCAGTGGAGCTTGTACTTGCTCTCTGCTATTCCCAATCATGTTCTATGAAATTGCTATGAAACTGAACAAGGTAGATGCTACTGGAATGGCTACACGGTTGCTTGGGAACTCCAGTACTTTTTTTTTTTCTCCCAGATTAACCAGGAGAAAAAGGTACTAACATTTTGCATAAATTTCCCTCCAGGCAGAAATGTTGTGATGAAACAGTTCACATCTGGACATAGAACACAAGAATTAAATGAAACTAGAGATGCCTAGGTTAAAGGACTTAAGCAATTAACTAAATCATGTAAACAGGGAGACTCCTAAGCAGATATGATTCAAGAGCAAGTGGTGTGAAAATGGATTCACACAATATCGCATGATAAACGTCTGCAGCAGGAAGATATGACTATAGCTAGATTATATGAAAGGACCCAAGATCAATGAGTAGCAGTGAGTAGAGGGTAGCATTTCTAAATAAATTTCCATTAATGGTGTAGCAATGGCAAAAAAGACAGTAAAATGCAATCAAAAGACATCAGGGACACTGTGTTCCTGGACTTAAGTCAGCCACATGCAGAATTCCTTGTCATTCCAGCACCATCCACATCCGTACTGCACTGCATGTATATGTTTATAACACAAAAATATTGTGGATATTTAGTTCATATTTATTACAAAAAAATAATATTCTACCATGATACTAAACAACCACATGCAAGGAGCAAGTTTGTATGGCGTGTTAGAGCAACAGAAATGATGAAGAAAGAACTTTTGTTGGTTTTGTAGATTCTGGGGAAAAATCAGTTGCATGTCTTATTGGGAGGAAACTAGTGATGGTGTTTGAGATTGGGAGAGCGCAGATCTTCATATACAGCAAACTTTCCTATGCAGTATTTGCAAGCAAGGAATTAAGTTATTGTATATGTATACATACACATATGCCAGCTGGGTGACTTTAGGACAGTCACACTCTCTCAGGCCTAGGAAGAAGGCAATGGCAAACCACTTCTGAAAATGGTGTGTGCGTTTATGATTATGGTCAGTCCTGCTCATGTATTTTGGCTACTTTACAGCATAATTTGAATTTGCTTGGAACAATAATCTGTTTATTTTGTATATGCTATAAAAGGAGATCTGGAGTCATTTCTTGGCTGAAAAGCTGCCTTTGGCCTCCATATTTTTCAGAAGAAAATTCTGAACCATGTTGCAAGTGCCACTGTACCATTCCCATCGTCAAGGGGATCAGGTGGAATAGTAACACAACTTCTTGTTTGAAGGAGTTGGGCAAATTATTGACCATTCTCACAGAGTTACAGTGGATGAGTCTGATGTATCTCTCGCACAGAACTTGAGATACATGCCATATGGGAGCTATAAATGGTGACTTAGAGACAATGTGGTAGAATAACATTCGGATAAATATATGAAAGTACAAACTGGGTATTGAACATGATGATTGTGCCAAAAAAAAAAAAAAGTCATGAATGAAATCTACCTTTGTATTGATGTGATGGTGATAAACAAGGCTGTGATGTGAGAACATCATCCTGCATCACCATTAAATGATATTCTACATGCTATGCAAAGTGCTTGGATTTTTGCTAAATTAGATACCACTAAAGGTTTTGGCAAGTAGAATTGGCACCATAATCCTGCCATTTTACATTTTACCTTACATTGCACCATAGTTATTATAAAGTTCCATCTGGATTCTCAAGCGCACCTGAGGTGGTAAACTCTATCCAAATGGTATCTGGCGTAAGTATGATGTTGTTTATACAGCAATTGTTGAAGAGCTTTGGGATAGACTGATGGAAGTTTTTGAGATATTCCATAAAAGAAGACTCAAACTAAACAAAAGCAAATATCACTTTGGTGTTGTATGAATTGTTATATTAGGATACATTGTCTCAATTAACAGAATTAAACTGATCTGTAGAAGGTAGATGCTATTCTGCAAGCCGTGATTCCTGAGAATCTGGATTTGCCATGTTCTTTTCTAACTACCTGTGGCTATCTCATGAAATTTATTCCTCGCTATGCAGATATATATATATATTGTACCTGCTGACTAGAAATGGAGTCACTTGGTACTGGTCTGTAGCATCTGACTACATTTCAAAAACTGAAAGATGCTGTAATTAAGGAACCCTGATGGGAAATTACAATTCGACCATGTGATTCTTCGTCTTATCTGGAGGCAGTTTTGTTTCTGGCTTCCATTGTCAAGACATTTTTGCTCATTTTGGATATCCTTATGACTGGTTACAAGTTATACCCAGTAAAAACTGCATTTTTCAAGCTTTGCAAAATTCAAAACATCCTGCTTCTCTTGATTGTCCTATAATGGGAAGAAAGAACATTTTCATCACTATTGGGGGGAAAAAAAGTCTATTAAGGGAGGAACTGGAAAGGAGGTGCTAAACATTTTAATGGCATATTGTTTTATTCCTCACAGGACTTCAAAAGAGACACCTGCCAGATGTCCTCTTTCTCGGGACATTTGTGCTAAACTTACTGATCTCTATCCTCAAGTAAAAGTGGATAATTTGGCTGTTAGAGACCAACATTAACAATACTGGAATCAAATGAAACATTTTGCTGATAACTACATATTCAGTTCACAGATTTGAACCAACATATAAGAATGTTCACTATGTTATTCTTTAAAGCATTTCTGAGTTTTTGTTCAAATTAATTAACACCAAAAATGATAGTGTTTCAATTAAAAATGTCAAGCATCCCGGAAAGGTGCCATTTCGACTGACAAGCAGTGAGGTAGTATTTCTTTCTGTTTCAGATGTGTTGACTCTGATGCTGCTGGGTGACTCTCCGAAAGAGCAATTCAGTTGAAGAAGTCAGAATTCCTGAGGCAAACTTCTTTTGTGGATGTCAGCCCTTTGAGGTAGTCCAGACAAGAAGCCCCAACCATAAGTACTAACACTACCTTTATTGCAAGGTTACAATAACAGAATCTTGTAAGTCTGAAAGCACATCTCTGCCCCCTCACCTTTACAGTCCAAGAAACTAGGAAGAGTCCCTTCTGAGATGTTTGCCATGCCCCCATTGCTTCTGCAGACGAAGCTGCCTGTTATCTGCCTAGTCTGCAGCCCCTCTTCTTCCTCCCCTTGTTTCTCAGAGACATTCTCACAGATCATTGCAGTGGGACATCTCGAAGAAGCAGACTCTTGTTAGATGACTCTTCAAATTTCATGACAGGCTTATGTAGTTTTGGGTGCAGCCTTCCGTTTATATTTGTCAATCAATTTTGTCTTTGGAAATGTAATATTCTCTAATGTTGCAAGAGCTAGTTTATCATTGTTTGTTTCTATCTAACAAAGAAAGGAATATAAAGTAGGAGTTTAATGTATGTTTTACTTATATCTGTTGTAAAAGTTGGAAGTCTTTTTTTTTTGTATTTCTGCTTTTTTCTTTTTCTGCACTTTCGCTTTCTTTTTCTTTATTCTTTCTTTTTTTCTATTCTTTCTTGATTATTAGTGCTTGTTAGTTTTTATCTTTCTGTTTTTTAAAATTTAAAAAAATTATTAAAAAAAGATTCTTCAAAATTTTAATAAGCCTCTTTTGTAAATCCAATATAGGAAATTATCAGGTCACTTGGTTTATTGTTTGTATATCCCTTTTAATTATTAAAGCATCATCCAGTTTCTTTTGTACGTTCAGTGTACCATCTTTTTCCATATCATTCTTGTAGCCAGTCATTCACTTTCAACTCAGTCACGATCTTGTCAGGTAAAACCTGTTCCTCTTCCATAACATCTTTTAGACACAGCCTCTCCATAGAGGCAGATGCCTCTGTTGACACTATTAATATTAACTTCTGAGTCCATTTTTCAAAAATATCCTTCAATATGTCCAAAGTTAGAATATTTTGCTTCAATTACTACAATTACTTGTAGCAATTCAATTGCTTCAATTGCTACAATTACATTCTGCAATTGTAAGTTGAGTTTATGTGTTCTTCTCCATTAATTGCAATCTTTAGTTGCCTCTAGTGTCCCATTTTTAAAAACTTATTATGTTTTTTTAAATATTCAAAACAAAAACATTTTCCCATGGGAAGGTTCTTTATAATTAATTCCAAAATCTTATTTCAAATTTATCTGGATGTTTAGTCCATTTGTAACTTTCTAAAATCAAAGTTTTAATCACCCTCAATCACATGGATTGAAGGAAATTTACCCAGTGTTGTAAAACTTGTTGATCCAAATGTTTCTAATAGCTGAAAAGCAGTTAAAAAGCAATTTCTGAAAGTGATTAGAAAAGAGAAGTATGTGAACTTAGTGTCCTTTCAAAGGCGCTGACTGCGGTTTGAGCAAGATGGCTATTCCCTTGTCTCCCAGAGCTCTAAACCTGCCAGAGATTACTATCTTGTGATCTCCTGATGAGGATCAGCTGTCTGGAGCACTTGTGAATGATCTCAAGTCCTCTCCTTGTCCAGAGAGGTTTCGAAGAGCTGGTCTACTAGCTGGCTCTTCATTCTACCACTATTGTCAGTTCTGCTTTTCGCAGAGCCGTCTTCAGTCTGCTATTTCTTCCTCTTTGATGCTTTCAAATATCAGTGCCTTGCTGATGTATTTGAAACCTTGTAAAAGCCTATATACCAGAGTTTATTTGGTAAGTTTGTATATGTTTTTAGATTTAATACATTTTAAGATCTCTGTTCAGCTTCTGGTGGTAAGCTGAAAAACCATTTCATATTCTCCCCGGCCAATTTAATAATTAAGTGCACTGCAGAACACCTCAGAATTGAGAGTTGACACAATACATTTTGAAACATCTGACTGTGATCTTAAAGATATCTATTGGCATGTATTTGTGCTCATTTCTTTAACTCTGTTCGAAATAGACTATTTAAAAAACTGATTTTTGTATTAATTTTTGCCAGTGTTTTTCTCATTTCATACAGAAATTTTTACATATCCTTCCAAAGTCATCATTTTGCACCAAATTCAGGTACAAAAACAAACAAAAAAGATTCCCTATTCATATTCCCTTTCTTATTCAATTCAGGGAAGGAAATGCATACCTTATACTTCAGTGGATCACTGACATTTGGATAGATTGGGGCATCCATTGATAGAGACTAGTCAGTCTGTACTGGAAGCTTAAAACACATGGATGCATTGATTGGAATGGATGTCGGTGATAATCAAGCTAGACTAGCTGGGACCTATATCTATATAGAAGCAGACATCTGTGCACCCTTCCCTTGTGGGTAAGTTTGCAAGAAAATGCCAGCTGCTGATCTGGCCAATTCTATTTCCTGCTCTAACAGTTGCTGATTCCTTTAAGTGTTGCTGACAGGTTATGTTTCATTACCATTGTTAATATCTCCACCTCACATTGCTGATTAGCTAGAAATATATGCGCAGTATATATGTAAAGATCGCATATCTATATGTATAGGTGTTGATTGGAGATTAGATAGATAGATAGATAGATAGATAGATAGATAGATAGATAGATAGATAAAAACAAATGATTGGATCCATACTCTGCCATTACTTACACGCCAGAGGATTTACTGTAGCCAACTGATATGTGGCTTTCCCACATATGAAAAAGTGGGAATTATTTCTTTTTTTGCAAAATGCAAGGAAATCAATTACATGTGACCTGACCCCTAGCCATCCATACAGAGGTTACTGCTTCCACAGCCTTATATGTGGGACTTGATCCCTCCACCACTTTCAGCTAATGATGTAATCCTTTTATATCAGTGCATTGCCTGTTATGTCTTGCTAGTTAATTAAAGGGAATGTCAGACAGTTCAGAAGAGATGTTAGTAAGATGTCAAATGCAACAAAGAGAGAAAATAATTTTAGGTTATAAAAAATAAAGTCTATGTAAATTACAAAGCCTGCATTTTCTCCCAGCTACAGCCCTGACTGTTTGAAATGATTTTTGTCTGGTACTTTAAACTGAAATGTGAGTCTCTTGTTCATTCCTTGGCATCATTCCCTAAAATATTCTGCTAAATGTTTTCAATTATATGTCATTCCCAATAGGATCTTGCTAAGAGGTTTTTAAATGATCTAGTGTCATTTGAATGCTATCACTGTTGCAATAAATAAAGATAAATTAAGTAATTAAAAATAAGATCTTAGCTTTGACTCAGTAGGCTGATAGTGGCTGACCAGATATACCCATGAGGACTAGTTTGTTGAAAGGATTTTTTAAAAAAAATTGCTATTGAATGTGTCTTTTAAAAAAAGAGGTATATCCTGTTTCTATTGGGTTGTGCATGTGCATCTGCTACCATATCACAAAAAATGAAAGAAAAGCTTAAAGTATACTATCGGTCATAGATCTGTGCATGCAAACGTACTGGTTAAGCAGCTAGCGTTATATTATTTCTATTCTTATGCTAGTTTTCCAACAGAGAACATTTCTTGCCAAAAAACCTAAGCTCTTAAACGGTCATCTGAAAATCTAATATTTTGTAGAAAATGCATTGGTTTTCACAGAACCATTCCAACGTTAGTTTCCTCTGTTGCCCCGGGGCTAAAATTTGCAAGCAATAACTCTGCCCTGGTATTGCATGTATCTCTTCTGTGAAGACATGTTCCCCATGCTGTCATTTGATGGCATTAGCTCCAGTGAATACAGTGAATGGAGCGTGAACAGAAGAGGTATCCCTATGTGGCTGGAAACCATGGACACTGAACCAAGGAAGTGTCCTGAACTCACTGGTGGTGTAAACTGAAATGTGTGAGATCCCAGAGTGAGAGGAAGTTAACCATGGAGTGAGCTTCTAGTGGCTCCCTCATTGCTGAGGAAGGACTGTTAAGACCCTCAACAGAATACCATATATACTCATGCATAAGCCAAGAATTTGAGGTGCCAAAATACACCCCCAAAATTGGGTTTCACTCATCTGCAGATGGGCTTATCTGCAAGTATATATGGGAATACTTTTTTAAAGTATCCCATATTCCATAGATGTTCATAGATAAGGTGATCCTCGAATTTTAACTAAATACCATGAAACATCTGCAGATGACTCACAGAGAAGCTAATTGTGAAAATTAAAACATGCAGAAAATGTGAGGGTCACCTTATCCTCAGGTGGCACATTTTTCATGGTATTTGTGTTAACAATTCGAGGGTCAGCTTATCCACAGATGGGTTGCCGGGTAACATCAACAGGCAAAAGGGTCAGAGAATATGATGAGTAAATTAAGAAGCATTGCTCTACAGAAATGGCCTGGTTATCAAGTAACCATCCACTTAGCTAAATTCTGACTGTTACCTGTAAACCCACTAATTCAGCCAACGTTATCACCTTTGCCAGATGGTAGTGCCAATGAACCCAAAGCATGGGCTATGTATAGCATGCTAGAAAGCTGTATTTTTGGCACTTTGTAGAAAGTTGCATCTTACATACGGACTGCTGATTTTGAGACTAAAAGACTGATCAAATATGGGAACCCAGGGCATTTGGGGGAAGTTCCTACCCAAAGTCTCAAGCCAAGTGCAACCATTTAGTCACAGTTTAAAATCTATTTTTGTACCCCATTCTTTGCTTGTAGGATACCTAATAATGGTTAAGCTTCCATAGGGTTTCCCTATCACCACAATCCATTATGTGCCAAAACTGACTTTTAATGTTATCCATTAATTGTCACTTCTGAATGACCTAGAACTAAAGACACCCAAGCAATTTGAGGTGGGGTTTTTTTGGCATCCTTTTCTTCATAACGAAAACTAGGAAATTAGTAGAGAGCCCATGGTATATTTAGTACATTTTTATTTATTATATTATTATTATTATTTATTATATAATTATTTATGTATTTATTATTGTTTTTAGATTATTTAGTATATTAGTAGAGAGCCCATGGTATATTTAGTACATTTTTATTTATTATATTATTATTATTATTTATTATATAATTATTTATGTATTTATTATTGTTTTTAGATTATT